TTTTTTTTTGGTTGCAGCCATCATTGTTGTTTGGCGGGTCAGGGCTGGATTCAAACCTGCCACCTTAGGTGTATGTGGCTGGCGCCTTAGCTACTTGAGCCACAGGCACTGAGCCTCCCCCTCACCATTTTAAAACTGGGATCATCTTTGTCTTATTAATTTTGAGAGTTCTTTTTATATTACAGATAACAATCTTCTCATTCTTCTGTATATATTACAAATATTTGCTTATAGTTGGCCTTTTGATCTTAAGGTTAAAGTTGTTTAGTGGTTGCCGCTACAATTTCAATGCCCCAATTACAGAAGAGAGAGAGTCAGACTTAGCTTGACCCCAGACTTAGCTTTCCCACTCTTGGAAAGAATTAGGTTCTGTTTTCATTACGGTGAAATGTGCTAATACCATAGAAAATAATTGAAAAAGTATTCTCAGCAGATAGCTAGTGCAAACATCTTTTAAATTTCCTCTTCTATATGTGTCCCTTCTTCCTCCATAGGAGGGACATATGCATGCTGCTTTCACATACTACTTTAAACAACCCTAAAATCAATATTAAAAGCCCTTTCCCCAAAAGTTACTGAAATGCTAACCTGAGGTGTCTGGAGTCTAAAAAATGAATTTCTATAAAATTATTCATTTGTAAGGAAAGCCAACTTACTTTGTTGGAATAGGAACTCCACTGGCATCAAAAAGTTTAAGAAACACCCAGCCACAACTTAACTCTCCTCTTTCACCAGTTGACTAGGAAATAAAACAAATATATGAATTTTAATGTCTGTACTGATCAAATTTATAAGCACATACCCAGTCCTTTTAAAGGAATAAAATCAGTATTCACCTGTAGAAATAAAAAGTTCTCCATAAGAAAATAAAATGGAACATATTAGATTCCCATTTTACTCGCAGATCAGATGTTAAAGGTAGTATGTCAAGCAACAATCATATTGTGTCAATACTGCTCCTGAAAATCCCTTAAACTGGATATATGGCAACTGTTGCTATTATCTCTGGAGTGATATATGTGTATAAACATTTTGCAGAGTGATCTCAAATCACATCAATACTACATAGATTATGAAGCTTTGCTACATTAAGAGATGGAATACAGATATCACTCATTCAAGGGCCTTTTCACTTGGAATTTTACCCACACTGTTAATTGCCAAAAGCCCCCAGAGCTTGTGGAAGGCCTATATCTCTCTCTCTCCTACCTACCTATAATATATATGGATGAATTTGTATTAAAGAAATGAAGGGATGGTGTAATACTATAACCTCTTTGTAATGGTTCTCTGGGTTACCAGGAGGCCAGGTATATAACTTCTCAAGTTATTATTAGAATGTGGAGACATTTACTAGCACAGACTTGAGCCATTGGTTCAATAGTTTATATGGCATAAGTTAACCCAAGTCTGGTGTTTTCTTGTAAAAATGACCACTTTGCCAGGTCCCTTAGTTGTACCCCTTATTGATAAGGCTTAATGTACTCAGCCTCTGGGGAACAGACATGGGTAGACCACAATACTGGAATGTCACTGAGGACCTTTCTCACTTTCCGCAAAGTTCCAAATTTTCATTGTTTTAAAAGCACTGGACTTCAAGCAAGCTGTAAATGTAAGCTATAAATGTAAGTGTAAATAAATACCCTTTTATTTTAAATGCTACCTAAACAGCAGAACTACATACAAAATTAGAAATATTGCCATTCTATTCCTCAAGGGATTAAAATTCTACTAAACATAAACCCTCAATTATCTTCCTTGTAAATACGGACACATTTTTTAATCTTCCTTTTTTACTTATACATTGGAAAGCATTATCTTTCAACTGGTGACATACATTGCGAATATAAGAAATTCCAAGTTCAAATAATATTCCGAGATCTGGAGATGAAGAATTGGACCTGATAAAACAATCACCATCAAGTAAGCATGGCAAAATGCCAGTAACCTGAAATGATAAAGAAACTAACATTACTCATCAGTAACTTTAAAAATAAAATAAAAAACAAATAAATTAAAATGAAGTAAGTGAAATTTAAAAAATGGGAGGGGAGTTTTAACTCTATTCATTAGTATATGGTTTTTACCTTTGCATTATATTTTAATAAAAATATTTTAAGGAAAACAAAAATCAGATGGATTGGATTCATCTATACCAATGCTTTAAAACAAAAAAAATTAAGTTCTCTGTTTAAGGAAACATCTTTACCTTCACTTACTCTTTGCTTAGAGTAGAGGCTAATATAAGTGCTGTACCTAAGTCCTCAGAGGTGTTATTAAAAATAGTTTGCATACACTACTACTTTATATTATTCACTGCTCTTCATAAACAGAGCTAAAATTAAAGACTGAGAACACATATTTGCTCAATTTTCCTAATGTGAGCCTTGCAAATGTTCCTTTCACTTCCCTGGGTTCATTCCATTCCCTTCCCTCTCGCTAGACAACTATATCCCCCTTTCTTATCTATAAAATCTTATCCATCCTTCAAGGTCTAGTCTCTCTTCTACAAAACATTCCCTAAGCCAAAGGACTAGAATCAACTTCGCCCTCCTTTATGCTTCCAAAGCACTTAGAGCCCCATAGCTATTACAATCTGCCTGAATACTTATCAACAGTACCAACCCCACAGGCTAGTCTAAGGAATGCACAAGACAACGCACATCAGGATGGACAGAGGGCCTGGGACCTAGTTAGAACTCTATAAATAGAGGATATTATTATTCACATATGTGCATATGTGTTTTTCCTTACTAACATGTAAGTTCTCACATATCTAGGAAGAATGCCCAGTTCACTGCACATAACAGATGCTTAATTTCATTCAACAAGATAACACATACTAATTATTTATCCTTCCCAACATCTTCATACCCTGAGAAAACACTAGAAAATTCTACCTAAGCGCTTCACATACACAGAGATGTAACAGCAGAATTGTGAAGTGTTGTACCAAAAGACAAGCTGTGTCTCTCACTGGAAGCAGAGTGCTCAGACAATGAAGCTGGCTGGCCTTTTCTGAGCTGTGCTCAGACAAGTGTGGACACACAGAGCCCACAAGTGAGGGGCTGGGCCTCACCCACAGCCTAAGCCCTCTCATTGAATATCTATCTTGTTTTAAGATCTTTTAATACAATAGAAGGAAGGGCAATTAAGGGTTTTTAGGGGTATATAACGGAGTTAGCTGTGGGAGGGAAGTAAATACTATAGTAATGAAAACTTGGAGGTAAAACTTGGAAAAAAGTAATGTAAAATAAACTATAGACAATTTATCTTGTAAAAAGAACATAAAGACATCTTCACTATCATTAGTACTGACTCAGTGATCTGAACACACCTAACCTCATTCCAGTCTTAAGAGTACCTGGGTGTAACGTACAGTCCCCTAGGTGTCACCCTTGAGTCTATCTGAAAAAAGCACAGCTCTCATTTATACAGTTGGAAAACTTCATTTTTAAAAAACACTACACTTCCTAAATTTTATCTTTTTTGTTTTAAACCACATGAGCATTTTCTAAAATTGAACCCTCAAATCCATTGAATGAGATGATTCACAGGAATTATAACTTTGGTGAGTCAGAAACATGAGTAATTTTTATCAAAGTCCTCAAGGAACACCAAAGAATGTAAAGATTTAAATCTAGCCCCACATATTCTGTGCTAAATATAAATATGTTACACTTTGACAGCCTTATCTTAGAAATTAATTGCTTAATACTTAACAGTTGAAAGAAGTTCATTCCTCATTCCAGTCGCTCAGCAGATTACTTACTTGGGGAGAAAAGGTCCATGTTTTGGGCTTTTTAGATTGCCATGTGGCTCTGACTGTATGAATGTTGCTCAGAACCTGAAATGAGATTTATTTTCCCTGTTGAGATCATGTTGTAGAAGGCTCTTTGAAACATTACCACTTGTACATCCCAAAGAGTTAACAGTGGCTGTATCAGGTGGGGAAGATAGGGTGTGGGAAACTTTCACTTTTTACTTCATGCAATTCTGTAATGTTTTCCTTTTTAAATAGAATATGATGTCACTTTAAAAATAATTAGTGAAAAACATGTGTTCCAGTACTTATTAATAAAACAAAGAACTGATAAAATGAATGAGGCTTGGACCCTTGTGCTAATAATAAATCATATTCTTTGAAATCTTTAATATCTGGGATAGTTTTACCAGAAAGTAAGTAGTTTCAGGTAAAAACAGCCCTGTCTGCCTTTCACGGAGGCAGACAATACTAATAATTTAGATACACTAATATTTTTCTCAAGGTGTCTAGGCCTAGCACTAATACAAGGCCACCCAAGAGAAAAATTCAATTTAACGCAAGCTGGGGAAAGGTGGGTGGAGGGAGAGGAGAAAGGGTAGAAAGGAGGGATGGGTGTGCTCTCACGTAATGGGGACAATGTAAGGGCATATGGCACACCTCCTGGGTGAGGGGCACAGCTACAACAGGGACCTTACCTAACAAATGGAAACACTGTACTTAATCATTTATACACACTCATATTAATCTGAAATTTAAAAAATAGATGTCTGGGCTCATAAATCATATTTTTCTATAATTTAATCTCTCTATTTTGCATGTAAAATGATATATGCAAAAATTCATCCTATAACTTACATAAAACAATGACACGCAAAAGAAGCAAAAACTTCATGTCATGAAGAGTTCAAATTCTGTAAAGTTATGGCCCAAATGGGCATCTTCCAAAGAAATGAAAAATACATAATTTTTAATAATTATAACATTATTAAAACCAAGTGTAAAAATAATCCTAAATGTGTCAAATTAGGTCAAATTCAATTCACTGTCCTCTATTCCCTCTTAGTTGGCACTCAAGTGTCTTTGATGGGAAGCCAAATTATTGTCCACATTAACAAAACCTCATTTTATTTAACAACTTATACTTAATATTAATTCATTAGTATTAATTTATTTCAACTTTTTTTTTTTTTTCATTTTTGACCGGGGCTGGGTTTGAACCCACCACCTCCGGCATATGGGGCCGGCGCCCTACTCCTTTGAGCCACAGGTGCTGCCCAATTTATTTAAACTTTTACTAAAATAATATATACTCTCAATCTGGACTCTTAGAGTACAAAATCCTTCTGATTACTACCTGGTGACTACCATAAGACAGTATTTTATTTATTTTAAGATCCTTACTGGTTTTTCAAGGAATGTTTCCTACTTCTAATAGGAAGATGTCCTTTGCATCACTGAAACTGAATCCCATACTATTTCTTTTATCCTTTTAACTTGGAGAATCCTAGTTAAATCCTAGTTGATTTTGAAGTTTAGATTCAATGTTAAGTTCTACAGTTTGATAATTTTATATCATTCTTGACTTACAGATTCCGATTGCTAAAAAGGACTTAGTCCAACCATATCACTGTATATCTGAGAAAATTGAAGTCCGAGAAGGTGAATGACCGGCTCAGAATCATACTGTTTTCTGCACAAAACCAGATGCCAAGAATGAAGTTATTAAGGATTCAAAAAAAAAAAAAAAACAGAGCTATGTCATTCTGCAAACTGCATTCAGAATGCATAAAGAACTGGAGAACTGGGTGTGGTGGTGCCCCCTAGAACCCAGCTACCTGGGAGGCGGAGGTGGGAAGACCACTTGAGCATAGCAGTTCAAGACCAAAGCAAGAGCCCATCTCCATTTAAATAAATAAAAAGGAATGCACAAGAACTTCTGCTGAACTAGTGTTTGCTTCAAACAGCTATCTGCTCTAGATATAAAGCAGTGAAGCATTAATAGTTAGAACAAAAGAGCTTGATTTGAAAGTTAAATGAATATGTCAATGGAGCACAAACAAAAGAGAAAAACAAAGAAGAGGGTGAGAAAGAAACCAGGGGTCTCCTGGGCTCTGAGTCTAGCAGGAGTATGTAGTGGCAAGGAGACGGATTTGTATGTCAGAAACAAAAGTTACTTACAAGGAACAGAGGACTAGAGATAGCCTTACTGCTTGAAGCTAGTAGGGTAAAAAAAAAAAAAAGTTGCCAACTATTCTCATAGGATGTAGTGAGCCTCTGCAGGTAAAAGGACCAAGACATAGCCACGACACCAGGATCAGAATCAGGTCAATAAGTGAATGGGCCTTTTGATGAAGCAGCGATATCGCTGATGTCATCTGAGACTAAGAACTCTAACTTTCACTATAAGATCTGGTCCTGGACTGGGTTTGTGGGGGTGCTTTATTGGTGACAGTGTGATAGCAACCACAATACTACCAGATACAGGGATAAGGTTTTGAAGGAGAAAAACGAAGTTGAAAAGGTATTTGAAGAAATGGTTGGAAAATCCCCAAATTGGGAAAAAGACATAAACCTACAGATTTAAGAAGTTGAACAAACCCCAAACAGGGTAAACCCCAAAAAATCTGTGCCAGATACACCATACACTTCTGGAAACTAAACACGAAGGAAATATCTTGAAAGCTATGAGAGAGAGAGAGAATACCTAGATTAACCACTATGGGGAAAACAATTTTAAACGACAGTGAATTTCATCAGAAACCATTCAGGCCAGAAGGAAGTAGCATAATATTTTTCAAGTGCTGAAGGAAAATAACTGTTAACCCAGAATTCTGTATCTAGTGAAAATATCCTTCAGGAAAGAAGGGGAAACAGAGACATTCTTAGATAACGTCTGAGAGAATTTATTTCCAGCAAACCTACCCTAAAATAATAGTTAAAGGAAATTCTCTAAACAGAAAGGACCCAATAAAAGACGAAATCTTAGAATGTCAGACAGGAAGAAAGAACAAAGGAAATAGTAAAAGTATAAGTAAATATTATTGAATTTCTCTTGAGTTTTCCTAAATTATATGTAATGGTTGAAATAAAAATTATAATACTGTATAACATGGTTCTCAATGTATGGAGATAAATATTTAAGACAATTACATTATAAACAAGGAAGGATAAAGAGACTTAAAGGAAGGAAAAGTCTTATGCATCACCCCAGCTGGAATGTTAATACTAATAGACTATGCTTAGTACTGTAAATGTAAAATAAGATCTATAACCACTAGGAACGCTAGCCGAAGAGATCTATCAACACTACTGATCACTCAGAACGAGTTCTAAAAACAAGCAACTCATAGGAAGGCAAGAAAAGAAAACAAAGAGAAAGAGAGGGGACAAAGAAAGCAAAAATGTAAGCAGCAGAAGAGGCTCCTCACCAGTCCCTGCTGCTTCTGGAGGCTGGGCGGGGCCTCCAGGGGGCTGGGCGGGGCCTCCGGGGGCTGTTTCTATACTGCTTAGAGCGTACAGCTGTGAACTCTGGGCGGGTTGGCCCAAGAGGAACCTAATCAGCCATTACTAGAAGTGGTATCTCATTAATCAGTTTTAGTAGCAATGCTTTTCATTTATAACCAGGCTTAGATTTATTAAATAAGCACTCTTAAGTAAACAGCATGAGTATTTGTATAACTACTAAACATGTTCTTTAACTTCACAATTTGGGAATTCAACATAAACTCATTTCATACGAAATAAACTTCTATTATCTTGACATGTTATTTAAACTAAAATTCCAGTCTTTGTTTTATATTCTCATATATGGGAACAGGGAGAGGTAGGGGTGAAGTATCAAAACAAGTTTAAGAGAAAAGAAGGCAACTCAGCTCTTCTTGTGTCACTGATGACACCTACTGGCTTATTTGTGGAAGTGGTTTTGTGCAGAAAACGGAGACATGAGGGAGGATCACTGTACAAGTTCACTTAATTACTCCAAGTTCAGATGAAAGAAAGAAAGGCACTTTCTTCACGCTGGGCATGAGAAGTATACTCAGCATGAGCAAAATGAAACCCACATCAACTCCTCCAAACCTGGTCCACTTCCAGTGTTCTTTATCCCATTGAGTGTTGCCACAATCCATCCAGATGCAGAAGTCAGAGAATTAGTGACATGCTGGATCCTCCATTCTTCTTCTATCCTCCATCTCCAATCCATCACCAAAATATGTTGATTCTTACCTCCAAAATATGTCTCTATCCACATCTCTCAACCTCCACCTCTCTAATATAAGTTATCACCATCATCTCTTATCCCAGTCACTCTTTAAAAGTTCCATGTACTATTTTTAAGTACTCTATATATTTAACTCATTTAATCCTCACGTTGACCCTAAGAGATGTGTATCAGATGAGGAAAGTGAGAAAGAGTGAGGTAAAGTAATTTTGTCAAGGTCCCATACCTAGAAAATGGCGGAGACGGGGTTAATCTTAAATAAGCTGGCTCTAGATTTTGTTCTCTTGAAAATGACACTTGGCTATCTTTTGACCATGATGCTATGGCATAGCTCCCCCAGTGACTTGCTCATGTTCTCTCTGGCCCCCCTCTAATCCATTCTCTTCAGAAAGGAGCAAGAGATCATTCCCAGATATCAATCTAATCATGTCATCTCCTTCGATGACTTTTATTGCTTTTAGGATAATGACAAAACTCCTGGCCAGGTGTGGTGACTCATACCTGTAATCCTCACACTCTGGGAGGCTGAGGTGGTAGAACATGAGCTCAGGAGTTTGAGACGAACCTGAGCAAAAGTGAGAACCCATCTCTACTAAAAATAGAAAAATTAGCTGGGGTCATGGGATATGCCTATAGTCCCCCAGCTATTCAGGAGGCTGAGGCAGCAGGATTGCTTGAGCCCAGGAGTTTGAGGTTGCAGTGAGCTATGATGATGCCACTGCACTCTACCCAGGTGACAGGCACACTGGCCTCCCACTTCCCAAGTCTTTTCTCAATGGGACCTTAGCCTGTGCCATGCCTTCAGCCAGGTACACACTTCCCTTTTCTTTGGTAAGGCCTGTTTAGGCCTCAGATCTCAGCTCCAGAGGAGGCAGCTTTCATTACTAATTGGAGGATTCTTTTCTAATGTAAGCATCTAGTGCTACAAATTCCCCTCTAAACATTGCTTTAGCTACTAACACCCCACCAATTATGTTACATTTTCATTTTTTCAGCTCAAAATATTTTATTTCTCTTGAAATTTCCTTTTAACTCATTGGTTATTTAGAAGTCTATTGTTTAATTTCCATGTATTTATAATTTTTTCCACTTATTTTTCTGTTACTGATTTCTAGTTTAATTCTATGTGATTAAGGACCATATGTTGTATAATTTTAATTCTTTTATTTGTATTTTTAAATGAATTTTATTTTACGCTCTGCAGGGAGGGGATACTAAACCTGGCTTCCCACTTCTCATCATCTCAAAAGATTCTAGGCAAACAACTTCCACTGGCATACATTAAAGGACTTATTAGACTGGTCTCTGCTATGACAGAATGGTAAAGGGCCCCAAATCAATCCCCAGTTAACCACCATTCCCTTCTTGATTTTAATTCTTTTAAATTTGTTTAGGTTTGTTTTCTGACTTAAGACCATCTATCTTGGCAAACATTCTATGCATACTTAAAAGAATGTGTATTTTACCATTTTTCAGGTAAAGAGGTATACAAATATCAATTAGATCTAATTTGTTGATATGTTATTCAGGTTTTTTACATTGTTACTAATTTTCTGTCTGCTTGTTTTATATTATTCCAACTATAATTGTGGTATTATCTGTTTCTGTTTTCACTTCTACCAGTTTTTATTCATGAAAGTTAAAGCCCTGATGTTAGATATGCACACAGTTAGGACTGTTATGTCTTATAGGTGAACCATCCCTTTATCATTAGGTAATATTTGAAGTCTACCTTGTCTGATATTAATATTTTTTACATGGTGTATCTTTTTTCATTCTTCTATTTTAACCAACCCATATTATTATATTTAGGGCGGGCTTCTTATACATAACATACACAGTAGAAGCTCTGTAAGTTGACTGCCCAAGGGACTATAACAAACTGGTCAACATACAGAGGTGTTCAACATAAGGCACTAGACCCAGTATATTGATACGTACATGTGGTAAACGTCCATCTGTGAAAATTAAATCAACTTGAGGTGGTCAATGCCAGGAGGTGGTCAACTATGGAGGTTCTATTGTAGTGAGGTCTCACTCACTACAGGTTTTAATTTGCATTGCTTGGGTAAATTTTTAAATTTTTGAATTTTGTTCATCTATTTTTTATTTCATTAATTTACACTCTTATCTTTATTATCTCATTTCTACTTTCATCAGGTTTA